CTTGGGATTTTAAATTCTCTGGGTTCTGTGACACTTGACACACTGAGCGTCCAGGCTATTTTGTGGATTTACCTTCATTTTTCTCTTTGTATTTCAGTTTTCCTGCTCAAATATCAGGAACTTGACAACTTGCTTTTTGAAACACTTTCTGACCAGGCATGAAATTCATTACAGGCATTATTTAATAACTCTTTAGGCCCTTTTTGGTTTTAATTAGTAACTTGAGCATTATTTCTAAATAGCAGTGAATTCATATGTTCATAAGGAAGCATCCACATGATCCCATAAGTTCCAGAATGAACAATGTAAGCTAATACATTGTTCATTCTGGAACTTATAGGATTGTGTGGACCAGTAAAAGTGTAATCAGAGACTGTTGCTGCTACCCAAACATAGAGGCAATAGAGAATTTTTCAACCCCTGCCACAGCAGGATTGAAATGATTCAGAAAATGTTAAATATATTGATCGATTTTAAAAGGTGTCTCTGCTAGAGACCTAAAAGAATAAGTATTTTCAAACAGATCAGAGTACTCAAAGCACAAAAAATGAGTTATTATCTTTAATATAGTATGTGCAAAGATTTTCTACCCCACGTTTTATTTATTGTACATAATTAAACATCTATTTTAAATATGTAATTGATAAATTTCCATAAAGCTTTAATTATGCTGTCTAGAAATATTAGAAGAAAGAACTTAATAGCGTATTGCAGAGACTTGTTAACAAACATAAGAAAAAAGAAAAGCTAAAATTTTGGCATCTAAGCATAGACATCTGTGATTTGCATTTTCAGTAAAACTTAGCAATTAGACGACCTTTTATGTCAGGTCTGAATTCTGAAACAACAGCAAATGTCCAGCTGTGGTGTCTCCAGACCACAGGCAGGGAATGAAAAATGAGTGACCCTCTGTGAAAAGTTCAGTTTATATGACTCACAAAACATGCGCATGAACTGCGTGGAAGAAATAGATGCAACTATTCAGAAGAATAGTTCTGAAGAATAAAACTATCCTTTGACTGCAAATTATTTGCTTGACTAAAAAGCAAAAGCGTTGTAAGAAAATGGAACTCCTGACTAAGGAACAGGATGTTACTTGGCAGAGGGAAGTATGAGACATCCCTGAAACACAATGAGGCAGGGAACAAATGGCTAGATAGCAGTTCAGAAGAGAAGGATCAAGGTGCTGAAGTGGACCACAAGAAAAGTGTAGGTTATCATGATGTATAAGATAGCCTATAAGGCTGAAAACTTTGCAGTTGTCATCCCCCTGATGAAAAGCAACCAAGCTTCAAGAAGAGACAGAAGATGTCTTTTATGAAGAAGTGCTACAAACTGAAAAAAACTTTCACCATGAATGTCCTGGAAGGGATGAGCAACAACCCTAAACAAAACTTTCTCATGGCTACATCAGAAGATGTAGCCAGGCAGCTTTTGGCATACTGTACCTCTCTGAATGAGGCCAGTCATAAGGGGGCCCACAACAGAAGCATGGTCAACTCCTGGTTTCCCTTCGTGTTTTATGTGATTTTTTGGGAGTGAACAGTTTGCTTTGTGAGCCATAGCCTTAGCTGACGAGGTTTCTGTGAGGGATTTCCTCAGACAGCGTTACTGTGGCACAGCACCAGGCTGGTTACGGCCTGGTCCGAGCCCCGCTGCGGGCACCCGGCACCTCCTCACTCCGTCCGCCCCGGCGGCCAGGGCGCCCGTCCCCGCTCCCGGAGACACAGGGACCCTGGGGCCAGGGCACCAGAGGAGAAGGCGGCTTGGAGACATCACTCCTGCCCGCTGGGGACCGGGCAGACGGGAACGTGTCCATTCTCTGTCCCTCTCGGTCCTCTCGGGGTACCCCTGCCCGTCCCCCTGTCCCTCTCGGTTCCCCCGGACCCTGCGGCCCTGAGGCGCCTCGAGGAGGGGGCGGCCCGCGTTCTGTCCCTGGGAGCGCAGCCAAGGGAACGGGCCGCGCTTCCCGGAGCGGGGGAGAAAGTTCCGAGAAGCGGCTCACCCGGCTCCTCGAGGTGGGAGGAGTCGCCGCCCTGCCCGGGGAGGGGCGGCTGAGCCGCTTCCCGGCATTGACCGTGGGGGCCGGCGGGTTCGGACCTGCGAGGACCCCGCTGACGGGGCCGTGAGGGAGCTCCCGGCGGCTGCAGGTGAGTGATGCCGGTGTCTCCCCGTCACGGCAGCTCCCCGTCCCTTCAGGGATCCCCCGTCCTTCAGATCCCCGTCCCTTCAGTGACTCCCCCCTCCTTTCCCTTTCCGTCCGCGGGCGTCCCGTCCGCCCTCGCTGAGGGGAGCTCTGTCTGCCCCGCTGAGGAACACCCACCTCTCCACTCCGGCACTTGTTTTGAAGAGAGCTGTGGAGTTTTTGCTTTGAAATTTAGCACTTCTGATGCCCTCTCCACCCTTTGCCCGCCGGTTCTCCCGTGTTTTGCAGGCACAGGGCTGGAGCGGCACCTCGTACAGCATCTCCGACCTCCGGGAACCCGCCAGCATCGTCGCATACCCATGAATTTAAGGGGCTTCATGACCGTCTAGTCTCCTCTGCTTTCAGGATGCCACTGCTTAGCTACAGCATAAAAGCTGCTGATTTCACTTGAGCAAAAATTACCTAGGTAGGTAGTGGGTAAAATACCGCGTGGGATGAGGATGCTGCCCTTGCCAGAGGTGATTCGGGTTCGGTTTCAACATCCCCTGTAGCATCTGTTTCAAGAAAGTGTTGACTTGCTCAGAAATGTGAGCCCAGACCTTTAAATCCTGCATGATACAGAGAAAATTTATTGCTCCCACTTTCTTTTAAGCAGCTAAAATCCATTGCTTAATCTCAAGGCCCTTTAAGTAAACTAGAAAACAAAAATTCTAGTGTGGTTCCTGAAGTTTTTGGAGTTTGACTATTTTTTGCGTAACGTTGTTGCCTCTCCTTTTATCTAAATTTTGCATGTGTAGACCAAACTCCAGCACAATATAGATCCTAGCAGAGTTACAAGTAGATAATGCTTGATAATTAACTTCTCTACAATTCTCTACAATTGCTGACATTTCTGATGGGGCAGTAGTTTTACCAAGTTCATAAATTGCTTTATAGTTTTAGATCCCATTTCCCCTGATGTTGCGGTGTGTCTTAAGCTTCTGGGTCCCTTTCCCAGGTGTGCCTATATGCCTCTCCCTTCCCCCTCGCCCCCTTGCTTAGTGTGTTGTGTCAATCAGGCTTAACATTCCAGCAAGGCATCGTGTGATTGGTCAAGTTCAAAAGATGCCCCTATGCCCAGGGGTCATTGGCCTATGTCTAGGTGTCCCTCGTCCCTTGAGACCCCGCCCCTTTCACCTGGTTGGTGTTCACCTGTCCCCCCCCCTCCCCCTGCCCCGGGAGCTTAAAAGGTGATCAGGCCATGTGCTCATTATTCTGCTGGAGCAGCTGCTCTCGTCCAGACCTCTGTAACCATGGAATAAACTTCTGGACATTAAACCTTCCAGCAGAATCCTCTCCTTTTTCTCTTCACCATCGCCAGAAGCTCTCTCTCCTGAGGTAAACGGAGTTCCTGACAAGCCTGGACTTGCTCAGTGCCCAGCTGCAATCTCCAGCAGCCAAGGTATCTCTGGGGTGATTACACCACAGTTGCTGCCTTTGGCCCAGCAGCGAGGGTCAGACTGGCCCAGGCACCATCTAACTGATAATATTGGGATTCATATTCCAATACCCTCTGTCTCAACTGCTTTTTTGTTTGGATTCTTGTCTTAGTGGGACCATGCAATGCATGTTTTTCTATTTTGGCAGAGATTTTCAGAAAAGCAACAGCGTGCATCACAGAGCTTTCTGTTTATCAAAACACTGGAGCTAAAACTACCCCTCAGTGGTCAAATCATTACATGTGTATCAGACCTTAATTATAGAAATTACTTTCTTTCTTATGTAGCCTTTTAAATTTGTTGCTCAGCCATTAAATTACAAAGGCTTATTAGGAGCTTTCAGTGTCTAATACACAGATGTATTTTGTGTACTAAGTGTAATTGAAACCACCTTTAAAATTACTTGGGAGAAAAAAAGCAAGTACAAGGACTAAAGGAAAGATTCATCCACTTTAGAATGTGGTATCTCAGATACTCATTTTCTTATTAGCATTCAGGATTGTTGACAATCAAATTTTCAATTTTCTATATAAACTGTAATTTTTGTTTCAGTTTTCATTCCATCTATTTAGCTTAATGTTTAGGATTAGTTAGCCTACCTGTGCTCTGCTTACTTTCTAGGGGTGTCTCTTTGTAGGCTGTAGATAGAGTTTATTAGATTTTGGCCCTAAAATGTCACTTATGTTATCAATGTTGTGTTGTGGGGTAGAAACTTGGACTGTGATTCTGATCCTCAGTTACTTTATGAAGTAGAGGGAATAGCAACATAAGATGAACAGTGTTATGTATTATTACTTGATTTGCCTTGCTGACAGTCCTCTTCCATGTCTGATTTAGAAAAACTTGTTCAGTCCATGGTTCAGTTCATGAGCTGGTATCCATATCTAATATCTAGGTACTCGCCATTAAACAGATTAAGTGTTCTGCAACTGAAAACATTCTTTTTTTCTCAGCCTGTGTACATTCTCACATTCATTTAAGGATTTGGCTTGTGTTCTGGCAGCTGTTTTAAATAAGCAAAGCAAAGGGCACTAAGAAAACAAAGTTATATTAAGTATGATTTGAAATATGTGCCTTGCAAGATTGCTACAAAACAGATTAACTCTGCAGTCAGCTTTGACTAGGTGTTCATAGCAGGGGCTTCTTTTCCTGACACACACAGGTTCCAGGTGCTGCAGCATGTGCACTGTATAAATCCAACTCCTAGTCAATTGAATTTTGGTGCTTCAGTGACTTTGAAGTGGTGTTTGATGAAATGATAATCTTTGGTGGGTTTACTAGTAAATAATGAGAATTTCTTTTTAATTTCATGCATGGCATCACAAAAACTTTGGCTTGGACAAGACTTTGGGGATCGTGTAATCAGCCTTTAGCTCTGAAGGAGAGATCACCTACCTGGAGATGTTTATTTAAAATATTCACAGACCACCTACTTAAGGAAATTTAATTTTCTCAAAGGTAATTTACTCCTGTGCTGCCTCCACTTCTTGAGTGACTCCTCTTTAATTGTGTTTAATCTGAACAATTCCTGTTGCTGCTGAATATTATTTCAATTGTTGTCAGCTCTCCAAAATAATTCTGTTCTATTTAAGTATCTATCAGTGCTGATTAATTTCAGGGTAGGCAGGGGAATCCCAAATCCCTCTATATCAGTTTTGTCACATCCCAGGTTACATTTTTCCAACAGGACAATTATAATTAGACTATGAAGTTATGATTTAAAAAAACCAAAAAACAAAAAACAAACAAAAAAAAAAACCCAAAAAAAGAAAAAAAACAACTAGTGTTTTAGCCTGCAACCTGACAAAACCAAACAAGTCTGCTTTATATCCCCCAGAGATTTTGAGTTTTTATAAGAATAGAAAGAATATACACTAAAGATGAAAGATTTGTTACTCAGCTAGCTTCTGTAGTCCTGGCAGATCATTTGGTGCCAAATTGACTTCAACTTGCTACTCATCATCTCGCCTTTTCTGGCTACCTGTCTTCATTCCCTTTGTTGTTCTATTTGCACTTTTGGCAAGGATGTTATTAATCTATTACCATAATTTTGCTGTTGTTACTTTTTTTTATTAAATTGGTAATGTATTTTGTAGAACTGGAGCCAAGACACAGACTTATAAATGATGATTTTATAAAAGTACTTAATTATTGATAATACAGTATAAGTGCTTGACATTTGTTGGTGGTAATTATTATGTGTGATTAATTTGTTAGTCACAGGCAGATGTTTCTGAATAAAGAGGATTTAATTGAAAATACTGCTCTTATATTAAGGACCCTATTTCTTTCTTCTCAACTAGTATAATTTATTTTAAATTACTTAATATTCTCTTTTGTTAGAGAATTCTAAGACTTTTCTCATGAAAACCAGTTTGTTACCTACAATTGCACATATTACCACAATTTATTTATTATGCACTGTTACACTAGATTACCAACATACTGAATAGTGACAACCATTGTCAGTATCAAATAGTGACAATATGATTGTATTTTGGTAATCACTTATTATATTACACTATAGCAGCATAAGGCTTTTGCATCTAGGCTGTGCCACTAGTGAACTGGTGGTGTAAATGAATTGGTGTAAATGATTAGCTGTTAGTTAAACTAGGCTCAGTTTCATCACAATAGTTGAGAATCATTCTTAAGAGCATTAAAAAGTTTGGATTTATTTTCCAAATAGGAAGTAACTTAAACAAGTATTCTAATATGTATATATTCCACAGTACCTTCCCACTGTTTTTAATGTTGGATTTAAATGATTCTTAACCAATGGTGCAAAGTCCATGTGTCCAACCCCAAAGATATTTACAAAATTAGGAGTCTTGCAGGGCCAGATTTTCGTCATGCTGATATAATTAAGCCAGGAGATATGCTGCAGAGAGTTGCGTCCTTTGACTTTGAAAACAGATTTAGTTTCATGTTTTTCCTGAGGAGAGAGAGAGGGGAAAGAGGTTTGTAAGATTTGGCTTTGTATCTTAATATAATTTCATACTACTTTGAAAAACAGCAATCTCCTGAGGGAGTTCCCAGAAGTTTTAACATGATCTGCCTGGGAAAAGTTTTTTTGTGTCATTTACTTACCACTCTTTTCTCTATATTGTCTTGTTTATTCCAGGCAATACAGAACCAATTATTCTCACTTTTAGGTGCTAAACAACCTTGGAAAATCTAAAAAAAAAAAAAATTTCCCTAAATCGGTTTTTGGAATAATCTAATAGTTGCATGTGAATTTAGCCTTACTTCTCAAAAATATTTAAATTCTTCATACATGGTGATCTTAGTGTTACCTAAATTCTTCTGAGGATATTTGTTTAGCGGCAGGAAAGGCTGCAGAAACTTATGCATTAGGCAAGACAACACACAGCTGGTAAATATAGGGGCCTGCATGTGAAGCATTTGACCTCACAAGGAGAAGTTTGGGCACACTGCAGCAAGGGTGCTTGTTGTGTGCATTGAGCCCTGGGTTGCAATGCTGCATGCAGGGCTGTTCTACAGCATTCACGTGACCATTAGAAACACATTTAAAAAAAAAATCGGAAGTCTTTCTTTTTATCCTTTGGAGGAATTCAGAGCTTCTCAAAACCATGTAAATTAATTAAACTTATTAGACTTAAGACTCTGCAGCTCTGAGGCATTAAATCAGAAGTTTTCTGCTAGAAATAAATTCCATAGTGAATTCCTGGCCTTTCTGAAATCTGTAAATGTTCTGTTCTTAGCTTTAGTGGGGACAGGTCATTTTGGTTATCTCCTGCTAAGCAGTTGCAGTGTCTGTTATGGAAGTAGTGATAGAAGACTATCAGTATTCTGCACAGCTTCAGAAATGTAAAATGTACAAGCTTTGCGTTAAAGATAGCTGTATCCATTGTCCTGTTCCTGTTGTTTGTACTCCTTGTACCCTCTGTGCCTGAGAGCTTTAAGCATTCTGCAGCCTGATGTTTAGCTTTCCCTTCAGCATGGAGGAGTTTGCAAGCGACTCATGTCCTCTGAAATCTAACGTACAATCAGTCCTTCAGAACTGGGCTGTGCAAGTCCAAGAGTTTTATCCTGGCACAGCATGAGTGTCAAAGCTGTAAATGGAATGCAAAATAGAGCTGTGTGTTTCATGAGATGACAATCCATCTGGGAATGGAACTTGCTAAGACTTGATATGTGTGTTTCAGCTCCAGCCTAACTAAAGCCCTCCGTGTATCGTGTCCTGGGTGCTGACAGAGGAGTCTGCTGGATTCATCAGTCAGGCTGTTGGTGGGGCAGAAATCACAAGGTATTTTTCACCTTTAATACTCTTTTCCCCTTGTTAGGATGGATATCTTCTTGTGCAGGAAGAAAGCCAAAATACATTAGGACAAACTTCTACTTCAATATTTATTTGAAATAAGTGGATAAAAAACTTTAAAGATATTGTGTGATTTATTTGTTTAGACTCAATTGAACTTTTTGAGTATAATGCTACTTTTCTGTAACTAGGTCTGAAAAACAAGAGGTTTACTTTTTTCATTCCTTATCTTTCTTTGTGCATTCTTCCTGAATTTCTCTTAAGCTTCCTGGAGTCTGTGTGATTGGGTTTTTATTTATTCATTCTTAAATATAGTAATATTATCTGGACTATTGTTTGGCATGTTGCATTTCCCCTGAAAGAAACAAATAAATAAAAACGTTTTCTTTGCTGTTAAGTCTTATGCAGGAAAAGGTAGACAGATGATGAATCACTTCATGATTCTGGCAGTACTGCTCCCCCTGAGGACGTGCCACACTACATACTCACAGCAAGGTAAATTTCTGAATGTTTGATTTTTTTGAAATCAATCTGCAGCAACTGAAGCTTTCAACTTGCTGATTTGTAAATCTCTGATCAAGCAACATGTCACACATTTAATCAAATTATTCTCTTTGGTAGGATAATGAAGCAACTTTCATTATTACCTTTTGTAACCCTGTTATGCAAAATTACCTGTTGAATCAACAACTTGCAATGATGTGAAGCCAAAGTGTATTTATTTATTTTCTTCTTCTCTTTCTCCTATGATCTGTGATCTTCAAATAATTTATTTCCTCTTTGACAACTCCTATGGTTTTTTTATTTCTTTCCTTTTTTTGTCTCATCTCTGAAAACTTTAGCATTTCTGTTGGCTGTTTTCTGATTGTGCCACAAGATTCCAGGACCAGATTTTTATTTTTTATGCTTTGCATACTTATCCAATACAAATACAAAAAGAAAATATGCATATTTGAAGGGGGAAAACTTGAATATAATGATAACTTTTCAAAAGGCTGTATCTTTTAAGGTAAAAAATACTTATTGTGTACTTCCTGCTAGCAATAGCATTTGGGTATGTCTCCATAAGAAAAAAGAAAATTCTTAATTTTCACCTTTTCACCTTTCTGGGACCACCACTAAGAAGGCAGACCTTACCAGGCTCTAGACTGCTTTATGGAAATTTTATTGCCTTTTTTTAAGTTGGTGAAGAAGGAAGAGAGATGTTTGGGGTTTTAAAAATATATTTATTATCATACTGAAGGGGTAATATATCTCTTTCAGACATTTTGTCTCTTCAGCCTTGAAATTCACCACTCATCCAAGTCTCAGTTTTGAGACCTATTACTAGGGCTCCTAGAATGGCAAAACTTTGTAATGCAGGCAAGTCCAAACAGCTCCTTCATTACAGTAGCTTGGTCACTTGTTTTCACATGTAATTTTTCAGGAGTAAAATTAGTGTCTGTTGTTAATCATAACTATTCACATAGTCTTGAGTTTTCTTGCAAGTTAAAACAAGTCTTAAGATACTTTGATCATCTAATTTTGCTAGGAGATAATATTGTAACTGTAAATACTGCAAAATACTTCCACATGTTAAAACTACACTACAAAGTTCTTTAATACCTACATTGTAAGTTTGTGATCATCAACATTTTGGATATATCCTTAACTGTATTGTTTCTTCTATTTTTTAGTACTGTGTATAAGCTCCAACTGATGATTTAGACTGTCTTATGCCAGATTTTGAAGAAAAAAAAATAGGGTGGGGTATGAAGTGATATGTTGTCTGCCTGAAGAGAGTTAGTGGAGGGACACTTGTACAGATGGAGAAAAAACAGAATCTAATAAGACCTTAGCAGTTCTTTTATCAAGCTAAGTAAGTGTGGCAGGTGGAAGTATTCTTTATGGCAAGAAAAGGGATGATATTTTCATTTGGACAAAAAGAAACAGATGCAGAGAAGAGATGCACGCTCATCATCAATGCAATAGGCATAATAGTGACTCTTGCAATTAGATTTTGCTAGGAAAGAAAAGCAGAAAGAGGATAGGGAAATTCAGAAGATATGCAGAATTTTATTTTAATGGTGTATCCTGAAGAAAAAAGGGGTTTCTGCCAGCTGTCTGGCTTTTCTTTCAGGTATATTTATTTTCTTTCCCTGGGCTCTTACTTTGTGCCATTGAATTTAATTGAGAGACTAGCAGGGTCCTTTCTTTTCCTTTCCCCAGTTCCTTTCTTTCTCTGTTGCCTGAGCAGCACAGACAGAAAAACCAGTAGACAACAACAAGGCCCAGAGTTCTAGATCAGTATGTGAAATGAGATCCCCCAAGAAGTTTGGTACACGGTGCTTCAGGTAAACGGATGGTGAATGTACCAGTAAGGTTGATCAGAATACTGGAGACAGATAACATTACAGTCAGTTCTTAAGCATAAGTTGGATTTTAACTGTGTTTATCTTGTTTTGAGGGTATAAGTCTGAAAATGTGGGAAAATTAAGTGTGTTTTGTCCTATCTTCCCAAAATAAAGTGATACTCCACTTCCACAGTTAAGTTTATGAATCACCGTCATGTTTTGGTTGTTCTGGCTCCTTGCCTAGTCACTTGTTGGCAGTGAAGCTAATAAAAATATTTCTTTTTTCTGGTAAAAGCTAAAATTGATGCTTTGTCATCATTCAGTGAAATTTACCTCCAAGCTTTCCACCTTGTTTATTCAATTTCAGACAGTAATTGTCATAGGTACTGGGTTTCCTTATGGCTGTATGAAACTGACGCCCATCATTTTTCAAAGGCAGCTGTGAAGCAGCAGATATACATTTTATGGACGGTGTCGTTACCAAAAAGGAAATTTTGTTTCTGCATTTGAAATATTTTGCACTTACCTTGCAGAGACACTAAGGGTGTCAATTCTGCTTTCACATAAATTTATGTCTTAATCATTTCCTGGTAATTATGTATTAACAGTGAGACTTTACAGAAGGTGTGTTGCATATATTTCTTTCTCCAAAACACTTGAAGAGACCACAGTTCTAGTTCTACAACCATGTTTTTGAACAGTTAAACTTGGTTTCTTCTCCAAGCTTATCTGAAGATGCTTTCTCTGGATGGAGAGCATATGGTTTTCATTTTGCTCTGACTTTTAGTACCCTTGAAAATGGAGTAGGTTAAAAATATCCCAGTAGAGTTTTTGGATGATTTGCTAAAAGAGAATCCTTTCTTCCAGCAGTTTTAATAACTTTATACTTTCTTTCCTCCATTTATTCTTTAAATATAGTCTGGGCTTATATAAACAACAAAGTTGTGTCAGTGTCTGTCTTCTCATAATAAAGAAGTACACATATAAAGTTTTATTTCCTTCCTTTGATTGACCAGAGATTGTAAAAACTTCTTTTCTTGAGCCTTCCATTCCCTTTTCCTAATGTAAAAATCCCTGTGTCAGAAAACTGCTGCACAGAGGTTAGAGTAATGCAGATACTCGAGGATAAATTGCAGAATGATTTGGATACATGCTGGCTACCAGAAGCATCTATCAAAATGTAGATTCTCAGTGTAAATCTCCTGAATGCTTGTGTTTCTGCTAGTGATACATGGTGAAAGTTTCAGGTAGTTCCGTGGGCGAAGTGTCTCTGGGAAACAGGAATCGAGGTGGCGGTTTTGTGAAAGGGGGCTGTTGAGGGCACTCAATCCTTTGTGTCCCTGATGATTCTGGCTGTAGTGTGGCAGGAATGCACAGAATGAGTTATATTTTATTAAAAAAAGGTGTAGCTATTTTTGTGTCTCTTTTCTGTGTCTTGGTTAGGATAACCATTCTGACCTTGTCCTTTTATAACAAGCAGAAGCACCTTGGAAAGCATCTGTGGCAAAATTCAGTCGTTTCAGCTCCCTGGTTTCATTAACAACCAGATCAAATTTTGGGGGTTTATGTTTGTGTAGTTTTCAGGAAGTAGAGAAATGACAAATCAGTGAGTGCTATATTTAAGCTCTTCCAACAGTTAGGGTTTTTAGGGAGGGGTCACAAAGGAATAATCTAAAAAGAGGAACCACTTACAGGGTTATTGGTAGTTTTCCACAGAACAATCTTGCGGGGCCTTTTATTTCCCAACACCAAAAGGGACTTCAGTCTGACTTCTAAACTTTGCTTTATCATGTCATGGTCTGGAATTAAATCCAGACCGAGAGAAGTGTGTACAAGTTCCATTAGAACTAAGTGTGTAATTCCAGTAGAAGAATCCACAGCCATGACCTAAGCTCTGTGTAGAGCAATTAGGAATGCACTTAATACTAGGCTATGATCTAAGCTAGCTACTGGAGGGAAACCCTTATCCTATTCTGTTAAAATAACAAGTTTTGCGTGAACTCCTTTAGTCTGTATTAAGTCAGAGATCAAAACAGCCCAGCATTTCTGCCCTAATGATATGAAGGCTTGCTGGGGTTTGGGATTTTTTGAGATTTAGTCCTTCTTAATACGTTATGTTGTTCCTCTTCCTAAGATTATGATGAAGGGATGGGTCTGTATTCCCATAAAACAGCTAGCAAATTGACAGTGTAAAGAAATTAAACAGCATACCAAATACCATGGTGGAGAGTTATTGAATAAATTCAGGAAACTCATTTTAGCCTGCTGCATTTTTGCCTTAAGAAGAAGAAATATATTTTCTTTTGTCATCATCAGCATAGGTCCTGATCACTTTCATTTTTTTCTTTCAGAACCATCTGATGTGGAACGTAGCTTGCCTCTAACCACTCTTTTTTCAGATCTGCTTTGTAACTTAGCTAGACAGTAATATTTTTGTGCCCTTTTTCTGCCCCTAGAATCTGATGTGTTTCCAGTAACGTACCTTAATGTTTCCAAGGATTTGGATCTTCAGCGGCTGCTGGTGGAATGGGATGTTGTCAAGTCAGCTCATGATGCTGAGCTGGCAATATCTTTTGAGATACAAGTTCGTCGAACCAATGAAGTTGTGTGGACAGTAAGTGTACTTAGAAAAGAAGTGTATTGTCATTTACAATGATGTAAGATGTAGTCATGTCTCTTTGTAAAGTTCCTCTCCTGATGGTTTTCCTTAGCATCTGAACCAGCAACATTTTGTGAAGAGGAGATCACCCAAATAATAGGCTTAGGCCTGTTCTGGATGTTTTTCTGCTTGTGACTTCTGTATGGGAACAGTCTCCAAGGAAAATTTAGAACTTAGTTAAACTGAAAAACTGCACTAGCCTTTTTAGAGTTGCTATTTGTCAGAAAGTACATAAAATGGACAAAGGCTTATTTTTCTGAAATCAGGGATAAATAAAATAGGCATTGTTATAAATCACAGCTTACTTCAATCACCCTAGCTGGTGGTGTTTTGTCTCTGAATTTGAAGAACCACATCTCCACTACTAAATGAGCTCTATGCAGTTCTTAAGATTTTTACCACTTTGATATGCTGGATAGGATTTTTAGCCCAATGAGTAGATCTAACCCTGAAGTCAGTAACTGGGGCCATAATAGCTACAAACTTCAGTTTTGGGTTTTTTGAAGTGTCCTTCACCAAATTCTTATTAACTTGTTGGAAGGAAGTAGAAGTGTTTCAAATCCAAGAATTTGTTGTGTTATTCATAATAAACATGACAAGTTACTTTGGATGTCACTACCATATAGGAATGTATTTGCTTCTGTGTTTTTCTGAAGTATGTGTACCAATAAATAAGCTCTGTGAGTCTGTTCATACCAAAGTGTGGACAGCCTATATAACTTCTAGAGCAGTGGTGACATTCCTCAGGGCTGTAACTGAGAAATTAAATTTTGAACTGATGGCAGAGTTTTTCTCAGAGCAGTGGTAATGTGAAAGTGCAGGTGTTGCCAATGGAAAGCAATACTGGAGAGAAGTTCTCTGCTGCTCAGTGTGAGTCGGGGCTTTGGCACAAGTCATACACAGCTCTATATGCTGAGAATGCTGAGAATCTATCATTCTGCTAAAACATGTAGAATGATAGAATGTCATAGGTTGGAAAAACTCTATGAGGTCATTGAGTCCAGCTGTTAACCCAGCCCTACCAAGTCCACATAAAATCACATCTCTAAATGCTGAGTCTGCACATCTTTTAAATGACACTAGGGATGGTGATTCCACCACAGGGATATGTAATCCAGAGCATTAGGATGCATTTGTAGTCAGCATCTTATGTAATAGGGGACACAAATAACCTACAGAGAGTCTCTGAGAGCAAATCCATGTCATGAGAAGCAGGGTCTCACTCCCAAATATGTCAGCACATCAGTCACTCCACTATTGCTAGCACAGATCTGTAAGCAGTTGATTGTTGCCTAGTTACTTAGTGTGAGATCACATGTAACTAGTAGAGTTTCAGACATTCTTTTTCAATAGCATTTTTCTCCTTTCCCACTGCTTTTGGTTTTTCACGTTGCTGTGTTTTCAATACTTTCCCTTACGGCTTTTTGTTTGTAGGAGTTTCAGAATGTCACACTCGATAAATTGGGAAAGCCTCTTCATTGGACATGGGATTCAAACATACCTTTGGAGTGTATGTCACATGCTGTGAGGATCAGAAGCAAGGCAGAAATATCAAAAATCTGGAGTCAGTGGAGTTTGTGGGAGACTCTCCCAGGTATGCAAAACAAGACTTTGTAATATTGGGGTTTTTTTCAAGTATAAAGCTAGTTTTAATTCACCAGTGAATGTAACCATGGAGGACAGTTCAGGAGAGATGGCATCACATCAAGAATCCATTTTCTCTGAGTACTAACCAGTTCCTTATATTTTGCCAGCAATAATAGAAGTGCTTCAGGCATTGCTATAATTTGCAGACTATCTTCCTAAGCTAGTAGACCAAAAGTTTTAGAGCTTTTCTTTTACTCACACATTAAAACAATGTAGTAGATGAAGTGACATGGGATCTTGGATAGGCGCATCCCTGGCCTAGACTCAGGGAAAGGAGGAGTAGCACATAGCTAGGGGCTGCATGATCTGATGAATGGGTGGCTTTTGTCTGGGCTTCATAGCTTGAACTGGTATTACAGAAGCAGAGAGAAATGAGCAAGTCAGCTCCTTATTTCACTTGGAAGGAATGTCTTGTGAATTATATGAGAATAAACAGGGAGTAAACCAATAATGTAATTAATGACATCACAAAATTTATCTTTTTTTTTGGATTACCATGTCTTACTAGAGCAGTTTTGTTTCCAGAGAATCTTCTTTATACAACATATGTAACTACTTTAGAAAACATGAATGTAGTAATTTTATAATGAAACACTCAACGGTGTTTAGAGCAGCAAGGGTTTTTAAATATTGGAGACATCATGTCTCCAACAGAAGAGGCATTGCAGGTGTTCATACTTGGATTGTGGCACTCGTTTCCGTGCTGTTATATAATGGGCAGTAAGATGCAAGACTTTTTTGTCCCACAACCTCCTCAGTCTTGAAGACTTTATTTTTTTCAGTTGCAAGTGGATGCGGTTCAAAAATACTATTTCCTGGTCGCAAACTAATGCCACATTACAGACCTGATTTAGAGCTCTCTGAAAGATAGTAACTCTAGATGTCATCAGGTTTTTGGATCAGATTCTTGAGAGTAGATTTTACTGTGCAATATGTGTAAAAAACTGTGAGTCACTTAAATTCCATTAACTTTCCCATCCAGCAAGCAGTCCAACATAGAAAGCTATGGGAATCTCATTCCAAGTTGATTATCCCCTTGATGTGATTCAGTCAATGTTGGCTCCTCTTAGCTGTGCTCTGCAGGAGCATCAAACCATCACATGATGTTTTTGTAAACCCCTGTTACAAGTCTTCAAGAGCAGGTGGTTTGAATGTAAGCAACAGCCTGTGCATAGGAGCAGGAGGTGGTGTTCCTTTGTAAAGAGAATTCTTGACAGAACACTTTTGTTTTTCTCTTAAGTGAAAAGAAGTAAAACAGATTTAGTCTCTTAGGTAATTTGTTGGACTATATTACATGTTTATAAGTTTAAGAAAAAGGTGTTATTACATGTGAAATTCTTCTTTGTATTCAGAAGAATACTAAATATAAGTCTGAATGGATAATACAGCATTAGCAATTTCTTGTGTAAATGCTTAATTTTGTGCTCTGGCTGAAGGCTGATGCCTTGAGCATATTTCAAATTATTTTTTTTTTTAATTTGCAGGCCTGGACACTTCAAACAGAAGTAGGCCACAAATCTTTCCAAAAGAAAAAGTCTTAGCAGAAGGCTCTAATATCACTCTTTGCTGCATCGGAGGGAAAGGTCGAACCATTAAGGAATTCTCTGTATACCCAACTGTTGATGTTGTCAAGCGCACAAAGAATCAAGTCAGACTTCTCACTGTGGGAAATCTGTCACATGACAAAGGGTCTAACATTCATGTCTACTGCTCTGATGAGCATAAGGGGTCACGTGAAGCAGCTTTCTTTGTGGGTAGTAAGTAATTACATTGTTACAGTTTTATTTTCCTCTTGTTATTAACTCAAGAATGGCTGTAGAAAAAAATGGACAAGGAAAAAATCTTGCTGCAAGTTGTCATGCTCTTGTCATGTCTGGCTGAACTCCATCTGACTAGAGATCTGTAAACTTATATAGAGGAGGCAGGAAAGAGTAGCATTAAATTAATTAACCTTATGACAGGTGGTTGATTCATAAATACACCCATCCATTTAGGAGTTCAGCTTCATTGTCTGTGTGTGTGTGGTAAAAACAGCACAGCCTCCCTTTTGAAGGCCAATAGCAATTTTTAAAGATAGAAAAGAATACAGATTGAATACATGAATGAATGAGTATTAAAAAGGATTATGTAGTGTAAAAGTGTTGATTGCTATTGACTCTTGGTGTTATCCTGACCATCTCTGCAGCAGGCTATTGAATAAGTGTAATTTCAGTAATAACATCTATAGTAAACCAGACTTTGTAATAACCATTATTTCTAGCTTGTTAATGTATTAAAAAGGTTGATGAGTTTTGCCTTGACTGCCATGATGTTGTTGTTTTTTGATTATTTCATCTGACAAGAACCACCTGATACACCTAAAAATTTTTCCTGCCAAACCCAAGACATGAAAAGAATAACATGTACTTGGAGAAAAGAAGAGACCTATCTCTATGGAAGGAATTCACCACAATACACCTTGTCTAAAACGTAAGTTATTGTTATTGTCATTGTTATATTAATTCTGATCTGTGCTGTACCAGTTACTTTCCTTCTTTCCCTTAGAATCTGTGGATTTGTCCATGTAATTAGCTGCTTGCCTTTTTCCACCTCACTGATCACTTCTTTAACAAAGCTTGAGCAGTGCAGAACTGCTCTGATTCAGACTAACTATAACAAAGTTGGCAGTCCTTTAGATCAAGTTCTGCCTGATAAAGCTTATTCTAACCATTCTTTTAGTTAATATGTTTGGATATTGTTCAATAGGCATGAAGACACCCTGAATTCAGGATGTAGTTAACTTAAAAGTATAACTTAATTATTGGGTAGCACATAAAACAAACAGATAACTAGGATCTCATCAGCGGGTAGGCTGAGTATTAGTGTGCTCATGATCCATTGACACTAATTCTGACTCAAACTTAGCACTCTGCCTGTTTGTTTTCCTTTCTCCCTAGTTGTTTTCCTTTAGGATTTTAGAGCTTTACTTGCTGATGTTATCCTTCTTGAGTCCTTGAGCCACTGACAATCCAATCTCAAATGTCCTCCTTGTGTCTATAATTTCTGTAGTTTCAGCTGGCTTGTTTACTTAATAAAAAATCTGCAGACTTTCTCAAGGCTCTTTCTTAGCAGCCTGAGTCAAGGCTACACAGCTGTGGCATATCAGACACGGCCCTTACATGAGGAGAGAGGCTTTACAGCAAGGCCTGCAGAGAAAGGGTAACTCATAAAACAGGACAGGTCATAACCACAACAAACGTTCATCAAAAGATCTCAGCAGAAAACAGGACAGCATTGCACATACCTTCCTGTTCTCTGCATCACTCACTTCCATTAAGATACTGTGATGCTGTAGGCAGCATTCTGATTTAAAAATGGAAGGTCAGAAGATGCACTTCAAGATGCAGTTGAAATTACAACTTCATTTAAAAGCTTGGTGATAAACATGTAAATTATTTACGTCTTTGCAAGTAAGTCTCTGATTTAGACTATCCATAAGGAAATTTCTAAAAGCAATGTAGCTGTATCTTAAAAAGACAAACCTGGATTTCAAAGGAAATGTTTGTATTCATCATACATCAAGCTAAGATAAAGAAGTGGGTGTCTTCTTATGTAAGACCCCTCAGCTTTATTTTTTATGATGCTGTATTCTAATTGGACATCAGAAAATTCCAAGATCTGTGTTGATTGTATATTATGGACAACATCTTTCTTTGCCCTGCCTCCAGCCTCTCACTTTCTTTGATAGGTCATCCCAGAAAATGGCTCTGTGTGAAGCAAGTTGTCCTGAGCAGTGCTCATGCTCTTGGGATATAGGCCAGCAGCAGATCTGGAATGTCACAGTGACTGTGGAAAACCCACTGGGAAAGAAATCTGCCACTGATGTTTTTGATGTAAAACACAGAGGTAAGGGGTTTTTTCTGTGCCTTTGTTTAGGGCTTTTTGTTGCTCCTTCTGAGCTTGATACTTCTGTGTCTCGATTTAAAGTGTTGAAGTCCTTGATTTTTATCTTCACAGTTTAATTACTTATCTGTCCCTGTGCTACAGTTACCTGCTCTCTCTTCAGTTTCATCTTTGGGAAGTTGTGTAAATGGTAGAAAGCAGCTTTACTCCGAAGGTCAGATTTGGTTATTGGAATGACCCCTTAATGTTTTGAAATCTGCTGCTTTGCTGAAGCTGGTTAATGGAAGAGAAAGAAAATGATGCAAGGATATAAAATGGGGAGTTTAAGCAAAATATATGTGTAGGTTACTTGGGAATTGGTATGATACAAGATGTTATACATGTGTAAGAGCTATTTCTGGGGAAAAAATGATGGTGCTAATCTGCTCTTGGTGCTAATATGGGACAGTAACCTCCACTGTGCTACTGTAAGGGAGGAAGAGGTTCATTGGTGACAAAAACCATGTTATTCTCTGAGAAGTATCTAATGGCCGTGACTCCTTGTTCCCTAGTAGTTGCGTCCTTTATCTCAGTGTGTTCTGGGTCCCATAAGTTCCTTCCTACTCTTGCCTCAAAACAACTAGGTGTTTCTTCAGTCTCCAGCAGTATTTCCAGTTCTCCTTGAGTCCTCTTCAGTGTTCCCCAGGTCCTGGGGCTGCCTTACCTGTTTGAGGACGCAGGAGGCATCATGTGCTTCGTGCAGCTCAGAAGCTGACAGGACAGTGGCCTAGAGGGCTGTTGGTGTAACTGCTGCACCCTGGCACTGCTTCCTTCCTCAGAGGCATTGCTGACAGTTTTGCAAGCCATGCTTTGTTATGTGAAGGAACTTATGTTAAATGTCTGTGTTAGATTTGTCCCAAAGAGGCATGACAATTCTAAAATTTGATTATCTGATTGTTTGGAAGTGGAAGAAACAGGTCAAGAAAGTAGAGGAGTAAACTGACAGATTTTACAGAGACAACACAATGTCATAAACTCAGTTTTCATGGGAAGTCAGGCTAGAATAGTTTACATTCAATGTGCTAAGTACATTAAAATTTATTAAAATATTCTTTTTCCAGTCGTAGTGATAGTTGCAAGTTAAAGAAATTGTGTATAATGTGTATGATGAGTTTTAAATAGTGATTCCTGTCAAATCCTTCATGTTTTTTCTGATCCTGCAAATATTTACATTAGAATTTTCCTTCCTTAAAGGATGACAGTAAGTAAAGAAAAATGTAAATCCATTGCTTCTAATTTTGCATGTGGTAGTTTAAACCTTCTATATCAAATGCAAACTCTTTTGATTATGAAAGTCCTCAAATTGTATTTCATGGACTAGTGTAATTCAATCACGTAATTTGTGAAGTTTTAGGATAAATGGCCAAAGCTGTAAGCATATCCCTCACCTGCATTGCCATGACCTCACAATGCATTGCTTCCTCACTATTATACTGATAATACGGGAGAGTTTGAGATTTACTTCACTTGCTGAATAATCTTACACAGCAGTAAAGGATCTCAGGAATCTTTTGGAAGAAGTAGCACTGGCACTGTTTACCAGAGTGTAACTACTGACAGGAGTCTGTGTTGGGGTTGTGAATAAAATTTCTGTTGAAGAGGCCCAATTCTGGGGTGTAGGAATGTGTCAAATGTTACCATGTTACATCAGGAGCTTCTGCCAGGCCCTGAGGGAGAGGATTTTGATCGTTTGCAATAAATGTCTCTCTTCCTTTTGTCCATGATGTTTTAAAACATTTCTAAGTCAGTACAAGGGGATTTTTAAACCTTGTGTAACATTTACTTACATTTACATTCTGAAATGAAGTTTTACAATTTATGTGTGTTTCTTCTAAATTAGAAGAAAAAAAATCTGTGTTTTTTATTTGCTTTTACTACTCAGCTAAAATATCTTAATATACTATTGCATGTATTTTATGTTTTTCAAGAACTAACTCAGATTTTCCATTGGCAGTGTATCCCACTGCACCTTTTCAGGTTTGGGGAGATTGCACAGATACAGAAATGACATTACACTGGAATTACAAAAACACTGAAATTGAACTCTTTTGTCAGACTGAAGTGGTCCAACCTGATGGCAAAGTAGAACTGGTATGAAACCTGAATTTCCTAAACAAAAACATAGTCAGAGTCTTTTTAATGTGATTAAAAAATAATTCCCCAGCAACACAAATACACTGTAAGTCTTGTGAGTGTGTCGATGTGTCTATTTTCTGGATTTGTTTGCTTCCCAAGTTCAACACTGATTATGCAGTCCATGTGGGCAGCCACTGTTGGCTCTGATTCACACTCCAAGCAGTGCCTGTACCCTGTCAGAAGTATGTATGACTGGTCTGACTGTGTTTCTCAGTGCTCTGCTGAATGGGTTCTGAGATTTGTTGAAGCTAGTGAAAACACTGAAGGGCCTAATAATTCTGAAGTTGTATAATGTAATTATACAATTTATATATATATATAACGTAATTGATATACATTAGCTGCTGGTAGTCTTGATTTGTTTTTGTTGCTCATGTTATTTCACACTCACCAGAGCAGCATTGAGGGCTTCTTTTGTATCAGTCCAAGCTTTTTCTGTGTGCTGTTGACTGTAGTTAATTGCAGAGAATCTGGTTTCTAGTGATGGAATCTTCCCTTCCTCTTCAAGCTTCTTGAAGATTATTCAACTAGATTCCTTATCTTTTTCCACAAATGGTGAGCTTGATGGACTCTTTGCCTGTTTACTGTCGCCTCTCTGTAGCTGTTTTCTTAGAAGGCAGCTTGCCTCTAGCACATTAGAATGGCACAGTGCAGATCACAGTCAAAAAGCCACAGATCACAGTCAAGCTGTGTTCTCTCCTGATTGTAGCTGTCAGATCAAGTGACTGCTGCAGTTGGCCATTGCAGGAGACAGTTTTGAGGAGAGGCTTAAAAGTATGCTGGCCTTTTGGCTCCTACCCGAACTCACTCTGTCTCTTATGAGAGAGTGAGGTAAAGGCTGGGAAAAAGACATGGAGGGAGAGGGTGGCTGCAGATTGCTCTGCATAGATCTGGAACAGCATCCTACTTTTATATGAGGTAGTAGCCCAAGACTCTATGAGGCCACAATTTCAGTAAATTCCCTCCTGGATGTAAAAAGTACTCATGTGGAGGGTTCTGAGTGACTCAGACAGTTATACAGAGGTGGCTTCCAGCCCTCTTTTTGAATCTCCCACTGTTTTGATCTTGTGCATTATTTGCCTTTTTTTGATTGCTGTTCCATGACTGTCTTTCCCAAGTGGCCCTTAACTGGCTCTTGCAGGGTCTAGAGGAGGAGCTGTTTTCCCAGAGAAGAGCACCTTGCTGAGGACGCTGCTATCTGTGCCTGTTGTGTCTTTGTGTTTTGCAGCACAACAGCTCCGTGGCGGACTCTCGGCGCGTCACGGTGCGCGGGCTGCGGCCGCACACGGAGTACACGGCCAGGGTGCACTGTGGGGCGGCCAGGCACTTCTGGATGTGGAGTGAGTGGAGCCAACCCCTGACCACCAGAACAAAGGAAGGAAGTATGTCCAACCTCTTGAGAAACAGAGTTTGTGGGATGTTCCTTGCTTGCACCTCTCTTTGCTGTTTTTTTGTTACTCTTCCACTGTTAGCTAAAGCAGAGGCCTGTCACATGCATAACAGAAACACACTAAGCAAACTCCAAGAAGATGACTTCTTAATTAATTTTCAGCCTACCTGCTTGTCTCAGATATTCGCTGCAGTGCAGGCAGTGGGAAATCCAGTTGAGTGGGAAGATGGACAGACTGAGTTACAGTGCCCTGTGAGGCCTGGAGGAATGGTGCAGAGGTGGGAACAAGAGTCTGGTGACTGCAAACAAAGATTTCCTAGGGAAATCAAGCAGAATTTAATTCAGAAAAAGGAATAAAGGGAAAAAGATGTTAAAGGATAGTGTTTGGGAAAGACCCAGGAGTGATGGGAAAAGAAGGTGTTGTGAGTGGAATTTCTTGAAATGAGAGGAAGCAGTTAAACTGCCTTTCCTTTCCACAGGATAGTATTCTCATTTTATTTTGCTATATTGATTGCAGCTCCATCAGGGGAACTGGACATATGGAGAGAAATTACACCAGTTCTTGGGGGACGAAATGTGACCTTGTTCTGGAAGGTGAGACATCCCTACAGAAATAAAAACAAAGCCCTTCATAAAGGGGTTGGAAATTTCTCCCATGATTTGTGTGCAGCTGATAGCAATTCAGTATGGAAATGTCTTTTACAAATCTAAAACAGATTGTATATAAAATATCTCAGAACACACGTAGCTATGATGGTGTGCTATCCTGGAATTTCAGACATACAATTCTGTTTTTCTAAGCATTAGAGCAAGTCAGATCCCATAACCAAGGCTTCTGCATTTCCATTTTGACAAGTATGTATGAATGCATGGAAACAAATGTTTATATTCTTACAGAAATAAAACATCCTGTTAGTTATTTAAAATTCTGAATGATCCTCTCATGTTTTTTCAGCAAAACTTACTAAGTTATTGTTCTCTTCCTCCATAACTTTTTTTTCTCAGCAAACACCAAGTTTTCAAGCAAATGGAGAAGTTATTTCATATGAAGTGACCTGGGAAAAAATAGAAGATGGCTCTCAGCCTGAAAGCATTTCCTTTTCTTCAGTCTACAATAGCACAAGGATTTTCCTTGATAACCATTCCTACAGAATCAGTGTCATGGCAAAGAACAATGTTAATTTTTCACTTCCTTCAATATTGATCATCTCTAGAGCTACAGATAATAGTAGGGGTATTTTCAGTTATAATTATATTACTAGAGTTTTGTTTCTACATGTTTTGAGTGAAGACATAATTTATCATCTTGGGCAACAAATTTACCTTACCTCTTAACTCACACTACTGCTGTCTGAAAATTACAGCTGTATGTTTTCCTACGGAGTGGCAGCTGTATGTTTATTAAGCTTAAATGCGGAGAATGTCTCCACAGAGCAAAATACATTTGTCCTAAAACTAGGGCCTCAGACCTGCAGTGGGTGCCTTGGTGGTGCTGCCAGTGCCAGTGTGATTGGCCTCTTGTGGCGCTCTGACTCTAAGTTTCTGCAGCTCATGTTTTTTTGTGAATATGTAGTAACAATTGCTGGATGGTTTCTGAGCTGTCAGCTTTCAGCTTGTGAAGGACCCCTTATGTCATTTAGCAAAGGAATGCAACTGTTTTATTGTTGTTTTCAACTGGTTAGTGTAGGAACTGTATTGATCTTCATTTATGAGTCTGAAGTGTCATTCAGGACAATAACAAGAGCTTCTGTTTTGTTCATTCCTAGGCACTGAAGAGCTTAAGGAAGGACAGGTTAATGGTACAGATGATGGCATTTTTCTGTCCTGGGAGCCCAGAAGTATATATGACAGTTACATTATTGATTGGTGTAACTTTCCCAGGTTGCAGCCTTGTGATTTGCAGTGGAAGAGATTTGGACCCAACATTTCCAGTGCTGTGATCATCTCAGGTAAAAGCCAAATAAAGATTCTTTCTGACTGTGCAGCAGTTCTTCAAGTTGTGGGCAAACAAATAATTTTTTAATATTTTGAATATTGAATTCCATGCTGTGTCAGTATAATTCTTCAAAGGCATGTGACATCATGATTTTTCTACCAAAATAATTAGACACCACAAATTTACCAGCACCATTAAGCCTTGGAAGGCAGCATACTGTATTAGAAAAATCAACACAGTTGACAAAACCTCTTCTGAGTGCTTCTTGAAAGAGGATGGTGAGGTTAATGAAGCATTGAAAATAATTTAGCAGTAGAGATGCAGAAGGGAGCTCTAGCCTAGCTGTGACATGGATCAGGAGTTTAGACTCAGGCTGTTTAAACACGGTGTAGTGAGAGGTTTGGTGCTGTCAGTGTGCCATAAATTATGTGTCTCAGCACGAGTCCTTAATTACAGGATCCGTTGCATGTTTTTTATCCTGGTTGTGGCCAGTAGACCTAAATCCTTCCTGTCTGTGTGAAAGTTTCGCTGATATGGTTCCACAGCTGCAAGAATTTAGCTTTCCTGGTGTCTCTCAAGCTGAGACCTCGCTTTGGAATGAAACCCATTTGAACAAAATTTGATTGAACACACATAAATTTGCAATAAAGGAACTGCACCTCAATTCACACAAATGTACAGAAACCTGCAGGTAATGAAGGGGACTGTGGTAACACAAGGGAAGAGTATTGTCAAATTCTTCAGTGGTTTGTACTTGCTTAATGTGAATGGGAGTGGATGTCAGTGAGGAGAACAAGAAATCCTGATAATGTTCCAAAACAAAACCTTTGCCTGTGCCAGAAACGTAAATTAAGTTTTCTTTTTGGTGCATTTGGAGTTTATTGTTCAGTCACCTTGAATACTGCATAGGAAAAAAAAATATATATAAACCTCTCTCCCAATTCTCTCTTGCCAACAGAATAAATGTGTTTAATTCATGTGATGCACACCAAGAATTGGTTTGCCCTCTGTCTCCTTCAGTTGCTTTAATAGCACCATAGCACTCAGAGAAGGTGTCTAATAGGTTATTCACCTTGGTAGGAAGCAATTAAAGAAAAGTAACATTGAAAGACAAACCATAGACTATTTTTGTTCAACTGTTTCCTAGCTGCTTTTGTGCCGGGGGTGAGATATAAATTCCACATCTATGGATCTGTTGCTAATAGAGCCTCCTTACTGGAAAAGAAGATTGGTTATCTTAAGGAGCTGCGTAAGTTGGCAACATATTTGGGGTTTATGCATTTGCTAAATTGATTTGTCACAAATAGAATAATTGCCTCCTCCTACAGCTAGATAAAATTGGAGGTTTTGTGTTCTTTCTGTATCTTTAGTGAGGCATTTAAAGCTTCTATATCAACATACAGGTCCTACATGGAGGATACTTGGCTAGTGCAGTGACCAGGTAGAGTCCATGTATATTAGGAGAGCTGAACAAAGCTGTGATTATCAGTTATTGCTTCATGTGTTATGTGGATGCATGAAAGCTCTGTGAAGCTGACATTTTTGCAGAGAACTCTGGCTTTGTTCAGCTTTTAAATACAAGAAAGATGTAAACATAAAAACCACATGGGAGTGTGGATTTTACAAGTTATAAGAGAAAACAGTCTTGAAGAATAATTGCAAGTTTAACTCAAATTTCCTTTCTTCCAGCTCCTCATCTTGACCCTATTGTGAGAAAAGTTGATCTGACTTACAATTCAGTAACCCTGTCTTGGGATTCTTATCTCACAAATGAGTCAGATCCTGGTTTTGTAAGAGGCTACCATGTTTATGTGTCACCAATACAAGGGAACTGCAATTTGAAAGGATCAAAAAAGCACATTCTTTCAGGTAACTGAGCTCTCTGCTACAGAAGGTTCTGTGATTGATGCAGGTGGCAGAACCTTCTGTTGGTATTGCCGCATCTTAGAAAGTTCACATTTAGGCAGTCTGGCTTGCTCATTCAGCTGTCTCTAGATTTCAATACTTGTTGCTTTTGGTTCCTCTCTGTGCTTGAGGTGCTGGTAGGCAGAAGTGATTCCTGGCTTTAGAATGATTTACAACCCACATCCTGTTGTCCATGATTCCTTTTTAGCTCCGGAAAAGACTTTGGTGCTATAGGAGAAGATCTGCCTCTTGTGAATTCTGGATGAATGTTGAAAAACATCTGTTTGTGGTCTAATTGGATAGAAGTCATGGGCATGTTGGTCTTATTAGGATTTGGGTTATTTTAGAAACACAGGGGATACAATTTGTTTCCTTCAAAGTTGGAGCACTGTATAAATTCCCCATGTAAATTTTTTTTTAGTGGAAGTATCTGTATGTGTACTCTACAGTGGAGTTCCTTCAGCAGAACTGAGCTGTGAAGTGGCACAAAGCCACAAATTTGTCTCAGACCTTTCCATTATAATTTTCAGATGCTTCCGACACATTAAAAGAATTTTTAATTTTTTTTCTATGCCTCTTCTTCTGCTTGGATCATGCCCTGTGTTCTGCTGATTAGACTAGTGCCAGGATGAAAAGTAGTTTGAGCTGAGGGAGGCTTATGTAGCAGTTCTTGTCAGAACTGAACTAACCATATAAGTACCATAATTGTGTAAGTAATCCCAGTTACACTTTAAAAAGTTTAATCAAAGATTTTCTGCTTCACTGCTTCTGTTAGCAGACAAGGGGTGTGACTGAAAACAGCAGAAATAAGCTAACGCTTTTCTCCCTGGGGTTTGGGAGTTGCACAGTAGAGAGGCAAAAGAGCTCTTTTTTCAGGCAGAGGTTTCTTGCTTTTGATTGTCTTCAAAGAAATTGACATAAACTTAAGGGCTAAAGAATTCTGGTAAGAAAAAAAGAAATGGCAAAACTCAAATAATTCTGGTACAATGCTCAAGGAAAAAGATATTAAAATAAACAAGGTTCAGTCTTTGACAACAAGTTGTTAAGTGTCTGCCAGAGGAGGGCAATGCTGTGGCCAGTCCAGTTAGAGGGGATGTGAGTCCAGCCCAGTGGCAGTGAGTCAGGATGCATCATCCTTCCCGGAGGAAAGCCTGCAAATTACAAAGAAGGCGGATTGCAAATGTTTTGTTATTTCAGTTAACTGGTTTTGTAATATTTTGTGGACAACTTATTGCAGCCTTTGAGTACCTAACAGGGGGCTTATAGAAAAGTCAGAGAGGGACTTCTTACCAGGGCCTGTACTGATGGGACAAGTGGTAATGGTTTTAAACCAAAAGAGTGTAGGTTTAGATTAGCTATCAGGAGAGGATTTACTGTGAGGGTAGTGAGGCTCTGGAACAGGTTGCCCAGAGAAGCTGTGGATGTCTGGAAGTGTTCAAGGCCACGCGGGATGGGGCTGAGTAACCTGGTCTAGTGGAAGGTGTCCCTGTCCACGGAAGAGGAGAGGGAACTAGGTGATCCTTAGAGTCCCTTCTAACCCAGAGCATTCTGTGATCCAGTGATTCTATGTGATCTGTTTTCTTTTAGATGAATCAGAACTATGTAAATACACAATTGAAAACCCAGAAGAAAAGAGATACACCGTGAAACACCTGATGCCAAACACAAAATACAAAATAGTGGTTAAAGCATTTACAGGTGGAGGAGAGACTCCCATTGTTAACTTTAGATACATAGATACACCATATAACTGTGAGTACTGGCTGTGAGTAATATCCCCTGGCAGAAGGATGGGATGATTTAAAATGTTGTTATAATCTTCCTTCTTAAGGGAAAGCATTTAATTCAATGCAACATTCACTTAAGAAAGAATCCAACTGAGAAATGATACGAGCATATCAACATGGCATTTTGATACTTCTAAGTAGAAAGGATTTTTTCTAAATTTTAAAATGAGCCTAATTTACATCTTTATTTAAGTCTTATATCCTTCTGGGAAATAGCTCAATATATGCACATTTGCATACCTAGTGAGTCCTGTTTGTTAGAACTCATTGAAGAATTGTATTTAGATTTAACTGTTTTTCTAATATAGGGAAAAACCTACACACTTGTGTGCAAACAGGTAATTCCTGTATGGACTCTTGAATTTCTAATGTTGATTCTTACTCTCATCAGTCTTTAAAACTTTTGCCAAGTTCACTCCTTCGTAAGTCAGTACAGAAGCGTTGTTGGCATGGGCACAGTAGTTTGCTAACTGGGCAGATTTGATCACCAAAGCAGAAGAGGAAATCACTTGCCCAAAACTTTTTCCCTTGAAAACACCAGTCAGCATGCTTGTGAAACTTAGGGTCCAGACTAGAGATGCCTGGTTTTGAAAAACTTGTTAGGTTTGGAGATGAAGGGGAAGGGCAGCCTCAGCTGTTCATGAACAGCATAGCCTGAGGCTGTCTTCCAGCTCCGAGGAAATACTGAGATCCCTGTATCAGCATAAATCCTAGGAAACTTGAACACTTGTGTAGTGCTTTTCTTGCTATAGACAGTCCAAAATGGAAGTACAGATGTTGTTCGTGTCTCACAGTAAAAATCTGTCTTCTTTGCAGGTCTGGAAGAAAACCTGAAACAATACTTAAGTGAGGTTATCATTGCCTTACTTTTGAAAATTAGTCTTACAGCTAAGGTGCCAATATGAGGGCAAATAAAAAGAAATCTAGTTATAATTCCATTCTGGTAAAGGGAGTCAAGGTCTAAAGGCTTACAGAGTTATCCCAGAAACTCCAGCCAAGCTACCTTGCAACCGTGGAGCACACAGTTTTACTGCTGAGTTAGTGGTAGGCATCCCATGCAGACTTGATGTTATTTTTGCCCCAGAAACTGAAACTAAATTGAATTTAACATGTGAGAAGTTAAAACCTAAATTTTAAAGTATTTTTCTTCCACAGCAAACATGCTGTACTTTATATTCCTGCTAGTGATAGTTCCAACCCTAGTAGCAGCTATTTGCCACTGGAAGATGAAGTGGTAAGTTGTAATGCATGTTTCTGTTGTATATTATTAATATAGAGAATATTACTAATCTAATTCACAAACCACTGCTGCAGCTTGTTGCTTCCAGCCCATTGCAAGGCCTCGTTCATTTCTTCCTTTGGCTGTCTGATTCTGTGGATGTTTAAAGTACTCGGCTTGTGGTGTTTCTGAGACACTGGTCATCTGCTGCTGTGCCTCTACACATCTGCGGGTGGCTTCTGCTGGTTGAGTGTGTGCTTTTATAGGAGAACAAAAATTCATTTGCTTTGGTCTCTCACTTCCAGGGTGAAGGAGTGGTGCTGTCCTGTAATACCTAGTCCTAACAAGAGCAAAGTGCTGTCATTCAAAGAGTTTAAGGTAAGATCACTGAAAATCTGGAGTTTTTAATTTGTACATTCTTTGCTTAGGAGATTTAAAAAAAAATTATTCATGTGTTGACTGCATTTAAAAATTAACTTCTTGTCAGTTTTTGTGTTGACTACATTTAATCATTATACACAAATTAACAGAGTTTAATATTACCATTTAGTGGAAAACTCTCCTTTTGACATCTATGTGACTCTGCAGTGACCAGCTTATATTTCAGTCTGTTGCTGCAAAAAGAAAATAAAGAATAAATGAAATCTTTTGATCAGCAGGTGATTCCTCCAGTGTTACTGTTCAAACCCCTGCACTGTCTGAACTCAGAGCGGCCCAGAGGGTCCTGGGCTTCCCTGCAGCCCGGGGCTGTGTCTGCCCCGGTGCCCTCGGGAGGACCCCGCGGGGCTGTGCAGTGGCCCTGGGAGGATGCTGGGGGTTCTGCCAGGCACTGCCAGGCCTGGCTGGGAGCACAGGATTGGCAAAAGGCCTTCAGCTGCTTCAGTAGCCCTTTTGAACTGGGAGCTGCTGCTTCTGTGCCGACTGCAGGGGGGTCCAAAGCCTTTGCCCTGCACAGGTGGAGCTGCTGGTGTTCTCTGAGCAGCAGCCTGAGAGCGAGGAGTGAGGTACACCTAACAGCCGCTGCTGCTGTCTTCCAGTTGCTTCTGCCTCAAACTACAGCCAGCACACATCAAACACTTGGCAAAGTCTTTAGAGTAGAGGGATGTGGTTCCTTCCTCAAATACAGTTGTCATGAGTTTACTTAAAAAAGAAGTCTCTAAATAAATAATCTGATAAATTTCACATAAAATACAGCTTCCATTGAACATCCTCTACATGAGTTTTCCTTCAAATTAATTTATTTGAGAAGGGCAAACTAAAAAACACTGTGTAGGAATATTAGAATTCTTTAAAGTGATCACTCTCTTTTCTCAATTCTGGGCTTCTTTCATTGAGTCATTTTTTTGTTTAATGGTTCTCTCGCAGATGGATTCTGAGAAAGTGCTGAAGATAAATGACTGCCTTCCTGACATGCTAGCCGTGGACAGTAATGCTGACGCTCATAAGTTGCATCCTGTTACCTGGAGCCCGGTATCTTCAACACCAACTGAAGATAACACTGATGGTCACAATTCTTCATGGATTTACTCTAGTGAAAATGTAGCAAGGGACTTTCCACACACATCTACACCTCAAACTCATACTTGTTTTGAGAATTTTGCTTATTCTTCTCCACTTGAGGCTGAATCTGATCCCTACCAAATACTAGAGACACTGGAAGTAGGCCAGACAAACCAGGCAGTGGTGCTGTACCAACCACAATGCTACATAGATATTTTTCATGAGGATGCAGCCTCAACCACCAGAGAAACAGGTGAGAGAAAGAACAGTCTGAAATACATCTCCCAAACAGATGTGTGCTGGCTGGGGGGGAGGCTTTGATGTTCTGTCCTCCAGTGAGTCCATCCAGTGTTTGGCTGCACACTATAAATGAGAATTTCTAAAGCCACAACTTATTGTGATTAGGGCTCTCACAAGCCCACATGCCTGACTTCCATTAATAGCAAAGGCAAAGCTGTTGTTCCTGGACCAGTTTTGAGCACTGATTTGCACAGGAGTCGTGTGTGTTATGGTTCCATTACAACTTACGGGCATTAGATGAGATTTATAGGCTGGTTTGTGGCTTGTGTTATGCAGCACGTTACATCACAGCAATCTGTCACAGGCTGATGCAGAGAACTGCTTTATTTTGCAGAGATTAAACTATTCATAAAGTAGAGGAGCAAATGAAACAAGGGGGAAGGTTGTGCTGCTCAAGGAGTGTATTTCTCTTGCAGTGTTCTGTGTACTCTGGCCACCCCAGCCAGTGGGTACAGCTGGGCATGGAGCATTACCCAGTCATTTTGGGGGCTGGGCTGTATTTTCTGTCTCTCCAACAATGTAAGGAATCATTGTAGAAGCATTACCTGCACACAGTGTGGCTCATTCCTAGAAGATTTGAAGGAACTTTGACTTCCCGAGGAGTGCTTCCCAGAGCACCCAAATCCACTAATCATCCTTTTATTTCACTTGTGTCCTAGCTACACATGATGTGTGAAAGGGCACAGAAAACAGATTTTCTTATGGAAGACCCTTGCTTCCTTTTCTTGTAAGGGTATTGTATGGAAGACCTTTCTTTCCTTTTCTTCCTTCTTTTCTGGGGCTCCTCACACTTCTGCCTTCTCTGCCTAAAGACCCTTTAAAATCATCTTAACTATACATTGAAGAGATGTAGGGAGTTAGGTGGAAAGGAGTTGGTTTTCCAGAAGGACAGAGGTAGTACCACATGGCAAGGTCTCTGCTGGTGCACATGAGCTGAACTTTTGGCATTGACCCCTGCACTTCCATAGCAAGCCCCAACCAACCAAGCAACCAGACATGGCTGGTGTATGAATTCCATTTGTGAAGGACATCATATTCAGGCTGCATACATCTAGATCTCCCAACAGTACTTTTGCATTTGTTAAAAAAACAAAACCAAAAAAATTTTTATTGTAACACTCAGAATCCTTACAGTAGATAGCAGTGAATTTGGCCTTTCATTTTGATTTCAGGAAATTGTACATTTGTAGTGAAGCAGCAGAGTTGGAATTGTAGCTCAAAGTCTTGTCATATTTACCTCAGTGCACAAGGAACCCTTTGGTTTTACCCCCTTATGCTGTTTGGAATCTGTCACAAAGTGGTGGTTTCAACTTAAGAGCGCAGGATAAGCAACTCTCAAAGGTGAAACAAATGAAGGGTTTGACAATTTGATGTTCAGCCTGTTTGCTAAAATGCAATTACTTACCTTCCCTGTGTTTAAGTAGCTGATCACACTCCTAGAAACCAAGCCAGCTGCAGACCAAGTGAGTTCTGAAACTGAAGGGTGTCTAGTTTTTATACTGTTGCTTACAGATAATTGTTGTAATGTCACAAGCTGTGTTGCAACTGGAAAAGAAGTAAGGCCTTGCACAGCCTGTGGGCTGAGACAAGCACTGCCTGCAAACAGAGGAGAAGGAAAAGGGGATGTACAAAGAACAGACGTGGTTGGAGGTGTTCAGGCCGCACTGTGCCATGTCCATCCATGTGCTGTGCACAGGTGCAGGTGGCCCACAGGCCTGAGAGGTAGAGAAGAGTTTTCAGCATGGTCCTTCCTTCCAGCCTCCAGCAGCCAAGTAAGGGAACACGGCCGGGCACATTCTGCTGAAGGGCAAGAGAACAGGGAGGGTGAGGGAGAAGGCTGATTTGATAGATACATCACAGGGAAACTTCCTCCCTTTATCTTAGCCTTTTCTTTGAGTAGAAATGCATGTGAAAGCTTGATACCACAGTATCTTTACAGCTTGGAACACTTGCTTCTCCAGAATGCTTCATCACACTGTATGTACTTGCGTAGCTTAAAAGCCTTACTGTTGGAAAAAAGTCCAGTAAATGTAAGGGAGCTGCTTTGTCACAACCAATATAAAACTGAGCTGTACATTTCAGAAAAAGGTGTATTTATTCTAAAATGTTGAAAAGGTATCCTAATCAAGTATGTACTAAGGCATTCAGATATAGATGTCAGTCAAAGAAATCAGTGTATCATACAAAGCATTTCAAATTTTGACATTGCTGCAGTTCCTCCTGGCACAACTCCCAGCTGTGAAAAAGCTGCTGTCACTGAGGCCTGGCTGCGGCAATTCCACCCAGAGGTGAATGGAGGGGTTTGCGGGTTCAGCCAGTCGTGCCTTCCTGATGGTGGGTGAGACACACGGGCCTGGCTGAGGTCTCACCTCTCAATCCCCTGGCTGCTCCCAGGGAGATCCTCCTGCTCTGATGAAATTCCATTATCTGGACACAGTGACACACTTGACCACATTCCCTGGGTGAGGGAAGGAGCAGCTGGCTCCTCTTTCCCTATAAACCCTTCTGCTTCCTGGCTCCGATGGGGGGTGTTTCGTGAAACCTCCTGTGCACAAATTGTACACAAATGGAGGGTTCCAGGAAGGATAATGCCTTTGTGCCAAGGGGCACAGTCTGGGCACCAGAACTGAAGATTAGAGAAGTATTTTGGCATATGTGGAGAAGTGTGTATAATTTTTATATATTAAAACATCTGTCTTGCATTAATGGTTGAATGAGTTCAGAACTGTAATCCTCTATTTTTTTTTGTTCATAATGCAACATTCACAGCTGTTGTTGAAATGCTAATACTTAAACCATCACATAATTAAACATCATTCTCAGTATGCTAAATTTTTAAAATAAAAATGGTGTGTGAACTATTAAAGAGTCTCTGTGTTTTATAAAGCATTAATGTAAAAATTTTTTTTTGGCCAAAAAGTTTTATTTGGGAAGCTTCTGATTGTTCTAGTTAACTAGTAACTTGCAAATACGAATTAAATTCCAATCCCTTTCTCCCTTTCTAATGCTGAGAGGTACATAGGAGACCAGAACAACTATAAGAAGTTTAAGTACATTTTATTAACATTGCATCCCTTTGATAAGACTACGCTTCAGGAGGCCTTTAATGCTCATTGACATGAACTGTACACAGTATACAAAAAAAAAAAAAAAAAAAAAGAAAACAGAAAAAAGAAAAAGAAAAAAGGAAAACACAAAAAAATCAAGATGGGCAATACAATTTTGGGACAAGCCTCTGTTTAAATTATACACAGCTCAATGCAATATTCTTACGTAAAATATATAAATACTTTTTCTTTCTATGTTACAGGTATACAATATAAATCAGATTTCAATGTCTGTTCGGTGACCTACAAACACTAGAACCTCCAAATATGTAGCAGCGTATTACTAAACAAAAAAATGACCACACAGGGAGAATAAGTATTGAGATTTTTCTTGATCCCTTCCCTCAGATCAGAATGATTAATCTACATAATGTCTTGTAATGCAGTTTTAGGGATGCTGACAGCCCAATATTGGAACAATTTTTCAATTAGATTTACAAAGTGTAAATTTGATGCAACTTTTTTCCCCTTTAGACATAGCATCTTGTGCTGAAACACCCTATTCAGTGGCAAAATGAAGTTACTTTTTTTTTTTTGCATAAATTACATTTTGCAACTAAAAGAGTGTATTTTAAAAAGCAACTCAGGCAAAAGGTGCAATTTCCGCATGCTGTGGCATTGCTGTCCATCTATGCTACAAAATTAACCCAAAGAAAATCCACATTCATTAATGACTATAAATCTGTTTAAAACAAAACTACGCAGGGAACTCGTGATTTGAACAAAAACCAAGGAGATTGGAGACCTCCAGAAAAATAAAAACATGGTTTCCAGCATGCCCTCAAAAGTCTTTTGCACTTGCAAGATTTTGCTCTCACATTGTATACCTTTCATAAGGACACAGTAACAGAAGTGTGACTTAGAAAAAAAAAGTAGCCAGACCTGCATTCCCATGGCTCCACAGAGGCTCAGGGCGGGACCTCAGAGCCTGGCGAGAATTCCTCTGCTGCGGTTGCTGCCCCTGAGCTCACGCTCGCTTGCAAGCTTTGCCAGCTTCCTGCTGCCCAAACTGCCAAACACCAAGCCCAAGGCACAGACTACAAAGCAGCAGATCTTCCATCCCTCACCAGGTTTTGGTTACAGTGTATTTCTCCTGAACAGCTACCTTAGTCTTTCGGACATCTAGGAGAGGCACTTTGGTTTTGTTTTCAGTCTCACTGCAAACCACAACTCCCTTTCCAGATCACTATATGTGTTTCAAAGTTAAATAAAAAAGACAGGATTCTCACAGGTGCCTTATAAATGTTTATAAGGGCAGCTTACCTCAGTGTGCTGAGCCACTGTGCCCAAAACTAGTGAATTGTTTGGGACTCCATTTGTGGAAAAACCACCACCACCACCACCACGCGAAGAGAGTGCTTTTAGGGCATGTTTGTCAGACATCAGTCAGGCAAGAGCTGTCAGATGAGGAAAAGCAACTGTTTCAAGCACAACGTGCCAGGGGCCTCATATACAAGTTGGGAACTTCAAAGCCTGATCATCTCCAGCTCCAAGTGATGTCCACAACAGCTGGGAGTGTTCTGCATTTCTGAATTTCAGAGAGGTGAAAAGTTCTCCTTCCCCAGAAGGAGACGCTGAGCCCCTAGGCTCGTCCTGCTTCCCTCGTGGAGGACCGGGCCCTGCGGAGGTGCCTGGGTGCTCTCTGCTCCTTGCAAAGGGCCCCCTTTCCCCGGCCTGTCAGAGCACAGCCAGAGACACCAGGCAGCTGCTGCTAATTGAGACTGGTTCCACAAGCAGCCTCTCCCTCCTGGAGCAGCTCCTGCTCTCTCTGAGCTGTGTGTGAGTTCCTCAGGAGTTTTCTTTGCCACAGCAACCGAAGTGCATTTGTATACAGTGTAAGTGAATGCTACACACGTTACCGTTTATTGAGCATTATCACCAATCACTCAGACTGGAAATATAAAAAGCGGGTGGTCTGTCAGCTTCCCTAGGAGAAGTGGAAGAGATTTTTTATTAGGGCTAATGTAAGCACAATCATTATTTACTACAGCTTTCTTTCGAAGTTTCTCATGATACAAATAAAACCCCAAAATAAGGACTTTGAAAGGGACATTAAAAAAAAGAGAACTATAAAATTAGAAATTCACAGTTTATAACTAAGCCAATATAAATTTCCTTCAATAACAGTATCCCCTTCATCTGCCAATTAAAGTGAAACATCAATGTGAGCTTAATGTCAGTGTGTAAATTAATTTTCTAGAAATGTATGTTATGTACAATACAGACTTAACATCCTTGATGCATACTTGTTGAAATCTACTGACACTCATACACTTTCAGAAGAAAAACCACGCTTTATAACTGAATTTGCAGCCATAATTTTTTATGTCAAGTTTCTGTTGTCATGGATCCCCACACAAGCAAGTTATTCAGAACACATGAGCATTTTGGGATGGAGATTCTTTCAAAAGTATATTTGCTTACCTTTCTATAATCAGAGGCCTTCCTATGATGCTTTCTACATTAAGTGCTATGGGTTAAACTTAAGAAATGAAGAGAGGTGGGTTTTTTAAATACAGGTGATAAAACTTGTTTATTTTGCCTTAACTGCAGAAAAATAACATGGAGTTGTTCGATGTAACCCCATTTAGTTATTAAAACAAATCTCTTCTACTCTAGCCTAACTGAGGTAGTGTTTGAAACTACTGTATAACATATGCTATCCCCATTTGTGGGAAAACTACATTATTTTCCTTTGGAGTTTATACCACTATTTGGTCTACTGTGATTGACATTTTGGTTTTACAGAAGCATTTATTTCTCATGACCAGAAGCCCAATAGTTACTGGTGTGGTGTGTTTTCTAAACATTTCAAACATATCTTGCCACACAGATGTATTATTTATGTCAATGACCATAGAAGAGTTCAATCAGTTTCTTTTTGCTCCTTTCAGTGGGAACTCATGAAAAGATAATCTTAGGAACTAAATTTGACTATGAGCAGCAACTTACAGTCTGCTTTACCAGAACCTGATGGTATGCAGTGCACATAAGAATTCAGTGAAGTGATAGCTGCAAAGCAGTGCTTATGTGACGTCATGAAATTTCCAATAAGAACAAATAAATTCTACATTTCACTAGGAACTGTGTGTTACTGTTCACAGGACTACTTATTGAAATCTCCAGTAGCATAGCTAGTAAGAACAGAGATATGAGCATCAGGATAAATTTCACTTAAGTATTAATCTGACAATTATAAAAAATGGTAGGAGTGAATGGATAAAAATACGTTCTACTTAGTACAGTCCAGCTGAATTATTCACCTATATCAAAATCAAAGGGTAATCCCCTCTATTACAGGCATTCTAACAAAGGTGGCCATGCTACTGTATATACACATTTGCATATATTTATACTACCTTTATATAAAGGCTTCTGAGTCTTTAGATCCATGATAAAAGTGACAGGGATTCCTACTATTTTTTTTTAGCTTGCACTTACTAGTTTAGAAACGGCACTAGTAACATGATAGAGGCAACTACTTCAATCATTACCAGTCACTGTATCATT